CATATAAAAAGCAATAGCTCAAAGGAAACAAGGTATGACATTATTAATTAAAATGTGGATACGCAGCCAACGATGCACTCTTCTCCTCGAAGTAGGGTTTCAGTGTTTCTCTTAGAAGCTGAACTGGAGCCTCCTTCCTCCCCCAGCGTAATCATGGGAGACCCCAGCACAGGCTTGACCACAGGCTTTGAGAATTAAGATGGGTTAACTCCCTAATTAGCTGAGCTTTTAAGCAAGTCATGTAACATCCTTAGCCTCCGTTTCCCCTTTTATGAAATCACATACACCATCTACACAAGACTCGTAAGTGACTTGCCAACCCTGAGGTTTATTCTCTGCTGTTCCAGAGGGCAAGCATCCTGTCTGCTTTTACATTCTTCTTCCAGAGACTAATGCAGGACCTGGTACAGAGGAAGTGCTCAGATAATATTTCTTAAACGAATGTTGCTCTGGGGTCCAGGAATCAGGTGCCTGACTGACAGGGAGTATTGAGTCTTGTCAGCCTAGAGCTTGACACCTGACATTAATCTCTGACTTATTTGGGAACTGCCCAAATCCTCAGAATTCCCTCTTCTTCTGCCTGATACCTCTCTATCTTAGACACCTGCAGACATTTATAAGAGATTCCAATGGGGGCTCAGCATCTATTCACATAAAATCCACCTGTTCTACCCTCCAGCTCTTGCAAAGCTAGATGCTGCAGTTTAATATTTAGGGAAACTCTTTTGCCGTTTAACACATCCCCTGCCCTGTTGAAATGGAGAAAGTGCTCACCATCCAACACTAAATATTAATACCTCCAAGGCTCCTTCCAAGTGCTTCTTTTCCTCCTACCCCATCACCCAGAAACACGCAAAGTGACCCCACCCCCTGGCTTTAGACCATCCCCTTCTCTTCCTCAGAACTCAGACACATCCCTCTTGATGACTCAGGTTACTTTGGGACCAAACACATTCATATGACAACCATGTTTGCGAAGCACCTTCTGCTTACGCATCTGTCTTATGCTCTCATGTCTACTTAACGCTGTCCATTTCCTTTGATGGGATGCATCGAAAGCTGTTCCTCCCATATTCCCGAGCAGCAAAACACTCAATAGGGAAAAATTAGTGAGCCAGAGATAACGAAGTGACTCAAATAAATCCTCCTATGAGTTTCACTAGTACAGAAGATGAGTCAAAGTACTTCACTGTGATGATAGGTAGAAATGCAGCTGATGGCATGGTGGTCCTCTGGTTCCACTGGTCCTCAGAGTAATTCTATATCAAAACTGCTTATAGGGACAAAGGGGAAGAGGGTATCAGGCTGCTTTTGAGATCTGCATTCAGGTTCGCCTTTGTGGTGGAACCAGGACAGAACAGAAGTAGCAGAGCTTTGGGAAACTCTCCCACGTGAACTTGGTCATATTCGCGACAACAGAACTGTAACCAGATGCAATTGCTCATATAAAATAAAGTGATAAAGGGACACACACCAAGTGTTAACAGTGGTTGTCTCTGGGATTTTACCAGGAAATCTCATTTCCTTCTTGCTGCTTCTTTCATTTTTTCCCAAATTTCTATAGTGGATACAAACTCCTTTTATAATCCAAAAAAATAAATGTTTAAAAAGATAAACTGGTTAAAATAAATTCCAAATGTATACACCCAAATGAGGCTCTCAAAGGGTCACCTGGCGTGTCTGTGTGAAAGAATTAAAAGCACAGACTCCGAAATCAAGCTACTTGGGTTCAAATCTCAGCCCTGCCTCTTACTAACTGTTGTGTACTTGGGCAAATTTCTTAACCTTTCTGTGCATCAGTTTCCTTATCTATAACATGAGGATAATAATATCTTCCTTACAAGATTATTGTGAGGATTAAATTAGTTAATACACAAGAAACCCCCTGAACAACGCCTGGCATAAAACAAACACTTATTTGCTATTATGACTTATTGCCATAGGACTACTATCGCTCAAAGTGTTTAGGGACCATCTATCGTATTCAGGGTCTTAAACACATTCCCTTGAATCATTTCAATGGGATTAAAATTTCCTCCTTTGAAGATGTGCCAATTCTTGGGAGCAGTCGAGCTGTCTGGGGTTCGAAGTAAGGTGTGTTTAGGAAATCAAGGGCTTGATGTTCTTGTATCGCTCATCTACTGCCTATGAAGAATTCCATAAAACACACGTGCACACCTACCCCCAGGTAATTCAGCACCACCTAGGGTGTGATCAATCCCTGGGTAACTAATAGGTTCTGCTTCTGCTAGAGAGAGATTGAAAATTAAAGTTTAATTATGAGACCTCTTCATTCAATTGATCTTGAGGGCTTTATGTACTAGCATACAACCAAAGGGCAAATTTCATAAAAGGCTGATTTACATTTAAATTCGAGCCTTTTTTTTCTTCCTCAAAGTTTGCTGATGCTGAGTTTTAAGTATGATATTGTTTTCACACAAATATTCCCAAACATTACCAGTTGTCATCTGGCGTTAAATAGGGTTGCGGCACGACAATGATAACATTAGCATTTTTAAAAGCATAACATCATTGTTCTTCTGTAAATTGTTGTAGGCTCAAATTACCCTACACATAATCTTTTTACAAAAAATTAATGGGGCACTGGCATCAAAGCCAGTTAGGGTTGTATAAAAAGAATGGCAGCCACCCCCTTTTGCTGGGACCCTACTGGTCTTGTGTGAGCCCAATTAGCACCCTAATGGGACATGGTGCAATCGTATGCTCCACTGTGTACATAAATAAAGGTTAGTAAAATGTGCACTGGACATCGTTTCCCAAGATGCAAAGGATTTTGATCAAATCTAACTGGGTTGTCGCAAAGCAAAAGAATCGTTCGTGTTTCTGATTACTGAATTCTTAAAAAAAAAATTCCAATTAAAAAAAAGGCTTCATTGATCTAGCATCAGTAGGAAATATTGTGTTCCACATAAATGATTTTGCAAAGCAATTGAAGTTTATCTCTGTCTCCAAATGTCATTTTTAATCTTTCTGGTGGAGATCTTTTAAAAATGTATTACCTCTACCCTTGAATTCCCTAAACAGTATTACTATTACAGACTTCTAATAGTGTACCAAAAGGGCAAAGCAGCATGGCGAATAGGAACACGAACTCAAGAATGGAATAAATCTAGGTTTGAGTCTGGATTCTACCACTTCCTACATGTGAGATCTTGGAGGGGTCACTCAGCCTCTCTTACGAGCAATTGTCCTCATCTCTTAAAACAAAGGTTAACTATCTAAATCACAGGATCACTTTTAGAATTAAAAAAAAAGTTTATAGAGTTTAGCACAGCAACTGGTAAAGAACAGGGGCCAAACTGAGGAGAACCATTATTATTTTAATCAAGTGGGTCATGTAACTTGTAGGACTCTGTACCTTTGGGGCCCGACAGGTTCTATACTAAATGGCCCCAACAAACTGTTGAATTCCTTTATCTCTAACAGAGGTTTCTGACAGTCTATATTTTCTGATAGCTTTTCATTTGTTGTTGTCAGGGCTTCTGCCTTAATCATCTTTTTCCATTTTTAATTTACTGTGGCCTAGGGAACCAGAGACTCACAGCTGACACAGGTAGGCAGGGTTTGAGGGCTACACTGTCACCCCAAGGACTCAACAACAGTATCCTCCCAGGGTTAAACTTTAAAGTCAACACATAATAGGCAGAATAATCTTACAGAAACACGGCTCTCGAGCCAGGAAGATATTATTATAGCCCAGTCTGAATGCAGGGTTAACATCAGCTACAGAATGTTTTCGTGTGGGGGGCAGTGAACTCAACCACAAAACAAAAAGATGACTCAGGGTGCCAGACACGGGCAGTGCCCAAGCCCTGTCCAGGGGAAACTGGCAAAGGGACTTCAAGGATTAAGATCCCACTGGCAAGGCCTTCTTAAATAGAAATGGATACAGGGAGTATCTATATCCTGAAGGTTTCAAATACTAAGTTTGTATGGAGTAGATTCTTCTTCTAGCGGAACGTCCAGCATTCGTTATCCGTTCAGTATTTATTGGGCGACCACTATTCACGCCCCGACCCCTAGCTCAACAAGCAACCTTCTCGCCGTAACTGGCTTCTTAGGTAGAGCTCCTTACACGGGGAGAATGTACTGGCCACATGAACCTGCTAAGAGACAGGGCGATTTCCTGAGGTGAATTAATAAATGGGTGTCATCTTGCTGCATATCAGTCTCGGGAGCTTGGTTAAGGTGCGTTTGCCGTCGAGAGATGACTCTCTATCGTATGTCGACAAAACCCTCTATCTAAGCCTGGAACCTAAGGGCTAGGCCATGACCGGATGGTAGGTATCCCCTTGGGATTCTTCTGGGCGCAAGGCACTGGATTGAGGGTGTTCACTCTGACACTGAATGGTGACAGGAGGCAGGGTGGCACAGTGATACAGAACAGGGGCACTGTTCTATTGAAGGCTGGTTTTGCCATTTACTTTCTGGTTTCCCTTAAGCAAATTACTTAACTTCTCTGAGCCTTTTTTCCTCATCTACCAAATGGGATGATAAAACTTCAGAGATTGATTCTGGCTCAATAGTTAAACAAAAGCAACATCCCGGAAGATGTCACACCAAAGCGCCCTCTCCCACCCGTTCCATACTCTCCAGTCCTGACTTTGTCGGTCCCCCTGCCTTTCATCACTGATCAGAGGCAGGTGTGGCAACCCTCATAGACTTCATCACCTCCAGAAGCCTCATCCTACCGCCGTGCTTTCTTCTCTCAGATTTGAAAATTGCCTTCTTAGCAAATTCTCTTAGCAAAGGTAGTTACAGCTTTAAGGGAGCCACTTAGTTGTCGTCCTGGCAGAATAATTTTATTTACTTCAACACAGCCACCATGTCTCCCTTCTCCTCAGCCAACACGAGTAGACATCGTGATCCACCATCTGAGATCAGCTTGTTAATAACAAAATTATTCCAGGTCTTAGTGTTCTCTTCTCGATGAAATAAACATACCTTTAAAACAGACAAATCAAATGGTGTTCCGAGACTGTATGAACCATCTTTATTGCACTCCAAAGAACAGCTCGAGACACGCGTAGAGAGTGGATATTCAAAGAGGTGTTTTCTTGACCCAGTTAAATTTTTATTCAGTGAAAAAAGTTGACATTGAGACAAAAATGATTTAAAACTGTGAGACAATATAGTAAAATCTTCAGCATAAACCAGTGATGTGGAAACTTATCGAGGCAACTGAAATGATAAATACCTAACTTCACTTTGGAGAGAAGCAAGGATACAGTGTTTCACTTTAAGAGCAGAGTAGGCCTTTATTTTGCTGCAAATACTTTTGATTTTTGCCTGTAGGTTCTAATAATTCACAACAAGAGCCTTTCATTGAGAAATGACATGGAATATCAGAGAATAATGTTCCATTCCAGCATTCGTACTTGTCCCATTTGAGCTATTACACATGAAACTAATACCGTTCTTGGGTTACTTGGCTCCGATGATTTAATTCCAAATATGGCTGCTCAAAATTAGTGGGCAGAAACATATACACGACCCATCCTCCCTCAACCCACGTTTGCTGGGGGGTACCCCTTCCGAAAACATGCTTGCCATCTGTGTACCCAACAGCACACATAATCTCTCGCTATCAGCTCCATACCTCGGTCTTGCATAGAAAGTATTCTATATAAACGTAATGCACTGGCTTTTATTACATAAAAATTGTACCTGAAAGGCAGCACACGCTTCCTTTAAGAAAAATAATGCAATAGGAACGTCAAGATACAATATCAACACGAGTGAAGATTCTGCACAGCATTTTGGAGTCAATCCCTAAAATCAATATGGAAGTGGTATGGGGTTTGCTGACTTCCCTGGATCCTTTCTTTGAGGGACCCCCAATTCTCCGCAAGGAAGAGAAACGTCTCAGGGATTCACTGTGACATTCTTAGTGGGAAAGCGACCAACCAAACCCGACCGGATGGGGTTTCTGCCCTTAAGGAAGTACCGAGAACATGACCTCACTAGATGGAGAGTTACCACTAGGCGAATATTTGAAGGCAGGACTGTCCAGTCCCCCTGCCCAAAAATGTCCACTGGTCTGAGAAGTTCCTTAAATTGTTGGAGAGCTGCATCTAGTGGGTCACACGTGTTGGGCAGAGAGAACATGTAGCTGTGTGTCGTACATCTGTCCCCCACAAATATCCCCAGTGAAACTACCAGAGATGGAACCCCAGGAACCCCTCTTCCCAAAGTCAGAAGTTTCAACCAGTTACCCAGCTTCGTAACTATTTACCCAGCTTGCCAGGGCCAGCCAGCAGTCACGGGAGCGTCTCACCTGTCTGGAAAAGGGTCTGCATAGGCATGGCCTCTCCCTGGATTCCTCTGCAGAACTCTATTCTCTGTTATTTTATCCACACGGACCCACATCTCGTAAGGCTTGAGGGCCATTCAATCCATCAAGGGGCAAAACCAACTTCCAGAGGAGATTTATACACAATCCCCCACCCGCCAAACTGTAGTGGTCCACTCATGGTCCGCCGACCACATGAATGTGGGCTTCTGAAATTCTAATGCATCCTGGAAGAAAATAAAGCCCTTTCCCTATACAGTGTGAACTCTGGAGGTAGGATCTCCAATGAGGTACAAAAGCCCCTTCTTCAAAGGCTCCAACTGGTCACAGTGAAGACAATTATCTGGTCACCTTCAAAGTCTCCACGGAGTTTTCTGTTCTCATTTGCTCTTGTCACTCCCACCTTGGGACTCTTGCAGACGGCGTATATACATCAAACCTCACAAAGCCATGCAGAGGGAGGTGAGAGTGCGTGCTTCAAAAGTTCATAAAAATAGACAATTTCCACATAGCTCCATCTATCTAGCTTAGTCTTCGGGAACTTAGCTCTTCTGTTTCTATAAAATACTCTAGCCCTAAAAGGCTGCTTTTTCTCCAACAGCCCAGTAGCATTTTCCAAGGAGAGGGGTGATGGCCAGTCTATACAGTACAGCGCACTAAGCATTGGCAGGCACTGGGAATAAGACTCGGAAGCTCAGAAATATCTCAAGTTGCCAACTGGAGACATGTGCTCTGTAGAAAGGCTTTTGCCTATGGAAAAACTGAATATAAAGTCTCAGAGCCTTTGATATCAGCTTTCACAAATGCCACCAAAAAGTTGGCAGAAAAAGAAAAGAAGAAAATAGACTTTCTAGTGGTTCGATTAAATGACTTGCCTCCCACCAGATCATTCATCTTTCAGTTACTTAAAGTGCTTATTTATAAAAAGGGGAGGTGGTAGGGCTCGGAGTTTTGAATGAAACTCCACGGTAAGACAAGATAAAGCCAAAGAAATTCCAGTCTTTAAAAACATAACACGGGAAAGAGATAGAAGAAAAACATGCTGGAAGAAGGCTTGTCATTTACCACCACTCACGACATACTAAACGTCTACAATTGAAAATACTCCTCAAGCAGAATATATATATACACAAATAAAATGTTTTAACTAAAAAAACTTTAATTGGCTCTTTGTTTCCCAAACACTCCCCAGGTAGAACAAAACTATGTTATCAGCGAAGAATGATACTTCTGGTTAAAAGGAAGCAAATACTTGTGAGAAGGTGATGCATTGCATCTAAGAGGAGACGGGGTTTTGACAAAGCTTGCAGGTGAGGGACACATGTGCAGAAGCATGACTCTGGAATATCCCTAGAGCTCACTGCTTCTCGTTCAGGAAGAAGTTCTGCAGTGAGGTGCATACGATAGGCGTCACAACAATGCTAGACACTGCTGCTAACAACACTAGGTCTCAAGAGTGGGCACCAGTCCCCAGTGGATTTCACACACCTGCCAAGTGGCCACGGTTTGAATACAGGGGAGGCATTGAAAGGCAGAAGGATACAGCCCAGCTTATTTTACAGAGCATATCAACTCTAGCGTTGCCACTACCATGAACTGGATCGAATGGTCTCAAATTCACACATCTCCTGTCTCTCTGTAAGAGTGAAGAGCATTTTCTCTTTAAACTGGGCAGGGGTACAGGTGAGGCAGGTGGTAGAAGAGAAGAAAAGAGAAGGCACTGACCCAATTCAAAATGACTGCATATATCAGTACGGATTTTTAAGGACAGTAAGCGGCCAACTCAACACAAATACAAAACTTTACATTCGACATTCTTCAGCGGTAAGTAAAAACAAAACGAAACAAAAAATCCCAAAAGGAAAAATTAGGTACTATATCTGCCAGTGTAGCTATCATGGCACAAATCTAGAACTCTCTCCCACAACCAGAGCAATGTTTTGCAATGACAATGACACCAGTGTATAATAAAGCAGTGTTATCATTTTGTAGCTTTCAAAGCTACATCTTGTACAGAGGTGTGTACAGTAAGAATCTATCCATTAATATGAGAGAGGAAGCTGTTGCTTGCAGGGCTTCCCAAGCTGCATCTCTGTTTAACTGAAATGGAGCAATGACTCAATATGCTCTTCTGTCAAACACCGTCGTGTGACACACGAGTGAATAAAAATGGATTGTTTCTGGAATGGAAACAAAACTGCTTCTGTTCCCCACGCCTCAACCCTATAGGCGAGGGGCTCATAACATGTGTGGTGTCAGATGACCACTAAAGCCTTGCCCTATACAGAGTTCCAATAAATTAACAAAATAACACAAAAGAACCTTCCCCCGTCATACGCCCAAACACTTTCATAGAAACTAAATGCAAAAAAAAATTTTAATTTGAGCATACTTTCGAGGAGGAGGGATTCTACCCGTCACTCTCGAAGTTTTTATTAAATACATTTCTGTGTCTTAGAAAAATAAAAAGAATGGCCAATTTACTGAACCAAAATTATCTCACAGACTTAAAAAGCATGCCCAGTAAGCACAGCCCTGTAAGACTACACTAATATCAAATCAAAGCAATTTGGTTACTAAAATCAACCTGGTTTGAAGTTCACAGTTGATTACGACAAAGTTTATTCATTCCTTTCTTTCCTCCTTTTTTTTGTTTTTTTTTGTTGTTTTTTTTTTGGCCCATATAAAAATAACATATTGCAACTCAAAGTGCATCTTTTAAAATAAACCATCAACTATCTTTATCAAATAAAATATTTACACCATTTGGTTTCTAGTGAGGAAAGCTCTTTTAGGCTATCACCATGGGGACGTCGTCGGAAAATCCAGTTATCATCGGAGCATCTTCATCGTCCTCCCCTAAAGGCAAGACAGTCAGTCCTTGGTGAGTTCCGGGGCACTTCCGCCCAACCCCACACCCCACCACTGACCCTCCATCCCTACAGCACAAGCCCCAGCTGGAAAAGTCAGCAGCAGAGCCAGCCAGGCACAAGAATCGATGCTGAAACCCAGCCCATCTTCTCTCTGACACTCTTGGGTCACCTGTTCCCCATCAACGGGTGGCCAAGCTTATTTTCATGGTACTTGAAATTAACCAAATAAGAAAAGTAAATCTTTGACGAGGGAGGATCTTATTCCCTACCCCAAAGTCCAACGGGTGGCTTAGGCGCCCCGATTTGAGTTGTCCACACCCTATGCTAGCACAGTGAACGTCATTGTCTGTTTTCTCCTTTGAACCCACACTGATCATGAAGAAAAGGACCTTAGAGGGGTTTAAGCATTTAGCCAGACTCATGGTTGTCCCCTCGTGGGCCCTGGTACCATCCTGAGCAACTAAGTGCTAATCTGCTTTCAGTGATCACAGCACGGCCCCGTGATGGGTGGATTCCTCTTGCCCCCAGTAACAGAAGCAAAGAACCCACTAAAGAACCCACCCTATTCACGCAAGGCAGTCCAAGCGCCTGTGATGAAACAAGAAAGGAAACTGAGAAGGGAGAAGACTCAATAACGAATGATCAGTGAGCAGGGAACACGTAAATGTCTGCATAAACAAAACTGTAACTGGTTGACAGAAGAAAATAAATACGTAAACTCCCATTCAGCAGTCTGAGTTTGGACAAGCCCGAGTTTGGGGAAGGCCCCAAAACACACCTATTTGATTACATTTATTAAGTGGCCTACTTGCTCAATTAGCATTTAGGAATTTGAGCACACAGACGTTTATAAAAGGAACATCTCCCTCTCTTCGCCATGCCATAATACGTAAAAGAAGAATGGCCAGTGAGGTTGTGCTAGCCATCGGAAAGAGAAACAGTAAGATGGGAAGGGCTTCTTTGGACGGAAGCCGATGGGGAAAGCGTGGCTTTTTGTCTAGACTAACATCTCCAGAGACGCCAGGCCTCCAGGTCTGTGAAGGATGAGAGGGGTCGGAAATTCTTAAGAATTTGCCAATACTTTGGGAATACCCAAAGCCCAGGGTCTGCCCATCCTTCCTGTAAAGGGCAAGCTCCTATCTGTTCTTTCACAGAACTCCCTGTCTCGGGCACACTATTTAAGACAATACTGGTATTTTAATTTAGGAGCAACTTCAAAGCAAAGGGCTCCAACTGATTCAACCCAAAGCAGTAGGATCACTGGTTAGTAAAGCGCTCTGCCAGCGTCAAAAGATGAGCTCGAGGCGGGCGTTTCCTCAGCAAGCCCCTGGCTTTGTGGGGTCTGCCCTGGGAAGAAGAACCCTGTGCCCTGACGCACTCACCCAGGTCATCCCCCGAGGAGAAGACGGCCGAGCCCAGCCTGGAGCTGTAGTGGCTGTTGGCAAAAGCGGTGAAGCTGCTCTGCAGCCTCCGATGCTTCGTGTACAGGATGGCGAACCCGACGCCCAGGCTCAGCAGTATCAGGAACAGGATGGGCACCACCACGGCAGCAACGTCGGTAGATCTGGCGGCCTGGATCGTTGAGGCATCCCCACCTGCCAAGGCAAGAGGCCAACCCGTGAGCCTCCCACGTGAGGGCGGGAGAACAGACTAGGCAACCCCTCACTGCCCCACCCACCCCGGAACACCGAGAGCTCGCAACACCTCCCCGAGCCGCCTGCCCGGTATGGCACGTTCCCGCACGTGACGCCTGAATGTTTCCCGACTCCTTGCCATGAGTGATGGAGGACAGGCCTTGTGCATGCAAATACGGTAATTACATTAGGCTCCTAATCACGGCCTCGTTGGTTATTTAGATAATCTCTTGGAAGGGAGACCTTTGTTGGGGTACCAACACTGATTTCATTAGCGTTATTACTTAAGACCGCTCGCTTGCCTTACATAAGAGGATGTGAAATCAGACCACTAATTAACGAGATTGCAATTATTTCCCCCTACTTGGCACCAAAGTCACTCTGAACTGCAATTACCTGAAGCTCCATTAAGTGATACAAATGAGATTCCTTTACTGCAATACTGACTTAACAGCTCATGAAGTTTTATGAGGTTTTTTAACTTAAATAAGAGAGAGAGAGAGAATCTTTCCATATACATTTAACATTTTGTAAAAGCTCTTTGCAAAGCCACCTGGGTGTCTATAACCTAACAGTGATGCTCCCTTCCCACTGTTTTAAACAAATACTAGCTTTATCATGAGGTACTGACGAAGCTGTAGCAACAGGGCTCTGGGGCAAAGCCATCTCCCTGTTGGGTTAGAGCCAGCCTTCCTGGAAGGGGTAGATTTTTATCTCATAAATCCTGGGGAAAGTCTAGACCTGAGGCAGGAACATGGCTTGCAGGAGTCCGTTTTAGCTAAGGAAGCAAAGTGGACTTCCTCGGTCTCCATGAGGAGCTTCATCAGGCTTGAGGTTGTTCCCTGGTGCAGGGCGAGGTGATGCAGGCCAGGGCTTTGCCTTGTGGAGAGAGCTCAGGAGCTGCCCAGGGCTTCATCCCAATAGGTCCTCGTAAAGACGGGCCAGAGAGCAGCCATTTCCTGTGAGTCTGATCTAACAACTCAATAGCCACGTCGTTAATTTCTTGCACTATCGACTTACTGGAAAAAACTCTCCCAAATCTCAGTTCACGCGTCCCAACCTAATCCCAGCTGTGAAGTGGAAAACTGGGGGAAAGCTCTGGGCTGGAGCAGTTAAGAGGAAGCCAGCACCGTGGAGGCGGCAGGAATGAGTGAGCTCCTGTCCTCACCCCGCCTCCGAGGGGAGGTGCACATCAAGGGGCAGGTCGTGGCCCGAGAGGTCTACCTGAGAGATTCTCCCAGCTGAGTCTTGGTTTACAAAGGTATCTGGCAGATGTCCTCACAGCAGTTTTCCCCAAAGTCTATTTCACAGGTTGCTAATAGGTTTTACTTAAAAAGGAGACTCTATTTAAAAAACACTAGGACAACAAGAGTTTGGTTGTTTGTTTCCTGTAGAAACTTCTCAGAACCTCAAACATGCGACAGTTCTCCAAGGGATGTGGTGTGCAAGGTTTCCCTCTTTTAGGGAGGTGCCAAGGATAAAGGATTCCCCCAGAAGCCACGCCGGGAAGCGTGATGGAACATATAACAAGTCTAACATAAGATTCTGAGCTTAAGCACTGGTCAGTTCTTGGCTGGGAATACATGGAACTACAAAGGCCAGTGGCAAAACATTTGTTGAAATCCTGGCTAAGCTATTACAAACTGAGCAGAATTTCCATGTAAATGGAAGGTTCCTCTCCCCTGCCATCAGCATGGCCCGACACTGCTGTGTGTGTGTGTCCAGAAGACAGAGATCCCAGGTCAACTTCAGGCTTTGATCTGAGGCTGATGGTGAAGATGAAGAGGCTGAGAAATCAGGGAATCTGTGATGAGATAATCTACTGACTTGCAGAATCCTAGGGAATATTAGCATATTAGCAGCTCTGAACAGTCCTCCACAGAATAAAAACAAAACTCATTAAGCTAGTGCTTCCCAAGCAGAATCTCCTTTTTCAACAAAACCTCCCTTTCTTCTGCTTTACATTCAGAATATGGTCACCTTATAATCCCAGCTCCTCACACCATGCCTGACTCAGGAAGCATTTTTTTTTTTTTTTTTGCGGTACGCGGGCCTCTCACTGCTGTGGCCTCTCCCATTGCCGACCACAGGCTCCTGACGTGCAGGCTCAGTGGCCATGGCTCACGGGCCCAGCCGCTCCGCAGCATGTGGGATCCTCCCGGACCGGGGCACGAACCCGTGTCCCCTGCATCGGCAGGCGGACTCTCAACCACTGTGCCACCAGGGAAGCCCAGGAAGTATTTTTTTAAATATATCAGTATCTGATTAAACTGATGCATAAATGATTTTCCTTTGAGCTGCAAGAATATTTTAAAGGCGTTTTAGAAAGACACATGTTTATCAAGCCATGCTACATCCTTGATATATTTCCTCGGAATTGAAGATGGAAATGGGCAACAACAGCAACTTACCAGATCCCAACTCATCATAGAGCAGGACAGCAGGCTCCCCACAAATCTGGCTGCCAAAAAGGCATCGTGCTTGGACAGTGAAAGTATAATTATGACCCAACTTCAGGTTGGAGATTTTAAAGAAATTGTCAGTAGTATTCCCAAGGTAAGCTGTGATATTCATGGCACTATCAAACAGGTGTATCTCGTAGCCCTGAAAACAAACACAGGAGGGATTGCTCAGGAAGTTAAATAAGGAATCTAACAGCTGCTACTACTGGTTCCAACTCTGTGAGCTCCTTATTGCAGACATTTATAGATGCTAAAGCAGTGTGTGTTTCGTACCCGTTCTTTTTACATAGCACTGAGATATTAGATTCAGAAAATGGGAACATTCTCATCCCCAACATCTAACTACCCACTTCTGAGCCACATAGCAGAAATGAAAAGCACAGACCTAACAAAAGCCATTTTAACAAATACTCCAGTACAGAATTCAAAGTTCTGGTCAGCAATCCACTAATCTCAAGGAATATTAAATGAAACAAAGAATCAGACAACACAGCAACAGGTCATTGAAATGAGATGGACCAATAATAAATCCAAGTTGCAGTGGACTCCAGGCATGGGGTAAAAAATAAAAGCAAGACATTTCTCCTTAGAACAGCCTATACAAACTCCATTGCTGGCTTGCAGCTCACTTCCTATCTCCGTGCTTTCTAGCTCATCCAAGCTGATCTCAGCCCCAGACAAGCCTGGCCTTGAACTAGGCAGCACTGCAGCAGCTCAGCCTCTGCTCACTGGGGGAGTGTGAAATAAGCATCCTACTTAGACTGGCTCGGGGAGAGTCTTGGACTCCTGTGCTGGAAAAATCCCTCTTGGAACAGCCCGAACCCAGCATGCTGGCTGGGATCAGGATTGACTCCCAGACTTCCCGGTTGATCTCCAAGTCTTCCAGTGTCATAGCTACCAGCACCTCCCCCCACCGCAAAACCCCTCCCGTCTTATTTCTACCCACATATTGGGCCCCACTGCATAATCATGGTCTCCTGGTTCTCATTCTGATGACCTGCCTCTTCTTTGAACTCTAAGTCAGGAGGAAGGAATAAGGACGCATTAAGCTTATGCTGGAACCCTGCACTGGGAATGGAATACTGACTGCAAGCCCAACCTTTATGAAGCTGGGCTCCTGCCACGCTGATGACAATTGGCTGCCCGACTGGGTCTCCCTACAGCACCTGCCTGGAGTCCTACTCCTGCCTTCTTTTTTATAGACTACTAACTAGCATTTATTATTTTCTATCTAATATATATGTGGTGTAGGACATTTGCAAAATACATAAGGGGATAAAGAAAAAAAAATGTAAATGATACCAACATCAGCCACCCATAATTGACTTGACCAACCCTCTTCTAGTGGGCATCTAGGGTGTGTCCTCTTTCTTACTGTCATAAATCAAGTTCTTTATGCACACTGTTTCCTTAGAGTAAAATCCTAGAATTGCTGGATCAAACGATGTAACACTTTCAATGTTTCTGATACCTATTGCCAAAGTGCCTTACAGAAGGTTGAACCCATTCATATTCCCGGAGCATCCTCTCCCCAGCTATGACTCATGTTGGTACTACCCTCCCCCAAAACTTTTGCCAATTTAATGTGAAAGTGCTGTATCTGTGCTGTTTAGATTACTAGTGAAGCTGAAACTTTATTTTCTTTTGCTCACTGCTGCTTGAACATTTTTACCTTGCTACCTGTTCCTTATTCAAAATTATAACACAGTTGACCCCTGAACAATGTAGGGGTTGGGGCCCTGACTCTCTGAGCAGTCAAACATCCGAGAATAACTTAGAGTGGACCCTCTGTATCCTCGGTCTGCATCCTTGCATTCAACCAACCACAGATGGTGTGGTACTGTAGGTTCCACATATAAGTGGACCTGCACAATTCAAATCTGCGTTTTTCAAGGGTCAATGTGTTTCTGTTTTGAATTGATTTGAAAGCTCTCTTTACACTTAAATACATTAACCATTTATATGTCACAGTTGTGAGAATTTTCCAATTTTGATCCTTCTGGCATTACACTGTGACGATTTAGAACTGGAGGGCTCTCTGCCAACGCTCTACCCCGAGGTAGCCACGGTTGATTTACTGTGTATCTATTTAGTTCATGCTTTGCTGACAATGGGGCCAACCCAGCTCCACTGGAGAATCTGTCCACCCTTGGATGGCAAATCTATTCCCAGGTGCCACTCTCCTCCTCCTCCTCCTATCTCCTGCTGTGAGTTCAGTAATTGGTCTGCTAAAAACAAAATGAAACAAGGTGTTTTTCATATGTCAAAAGACTATCTTCAAGCACTTCCTGCTCACTGGAAAGAAACTGGTAAGATTCCAGGTTGGCAGTGCAGCTCAGTTCCCCAGTACTAAAGCCATAGCCCCGCCCTCAGACTGTTTGGGAAAGAGGGGGCCCTGGGTTCTGATGCTGAACCCCTGTCCAGCCTCAGGAAGCACAGTGAGGACTCCAGCCCGTTTCCCTATCTTTCAGGGGATGACAAGTTCAGGATTGAAAAGTGCTTAGTGCAGAGATTCACATCTTTAATGGGCAGTATAAACATTTCACTAATTAGCAATCCTACAGAAAATGGTCCTTTAATTCTCAAGTTCACTCCCCTGCCCTATTCTTTCTTTTTACTCTATCTATGCCACCATGCTGTTAACGAGCTCATCTCTAAAATGGCATTTCAATTAGATTTCCAAAGTCACTGAGAAGGAGGGAGGAACTTACCCTGCTTTCATTAAAATGCTTTTCCTTCAAAGCTAGGCTTTTCCAAAACAGAAGAACATGGTCATTTTCTGTTATGATTTTTAAGGCATCAGGTGCTGATAATGAAACTGAAAATTAAAGGTGAAGTAGGATGCGGTTAGTAGCTCAACATCTGAGTCTCCGTTTTCTTGTCTGTCAAAGGTTGATTAAATAATGCTAATCTTGAAGGGATAGGTTAAGGAAGGAATAATACACATTACCGCTTAGTATACAGCCTAGCACATGGTAGACACTCTTTAACTGGCATCTCTTTTGTTGTTATAATACCTTTAGCCAAGATATCTGGACATTATCTAGACTCAAGGATGGCCAAAAACAAACGGGGTAGGGGGAGGAAGGGATGGGGTGGGAGGGAACCATGTTCAAAGTTTACCTGGACTTCTGCTCTGGTTCCAGTCTACTTTCGTGCTCCAAATGCCAGAGGCCTTAGAGGTCAGTGAGGGCCTAGGGAGCTCGGTCTGAAGACAGAGCCCTAGAATGACCACCGAGTATGGCCCAGGCCCACGGTTCACACTGCCGGCCTCCGTTACTGACACTCCTGATATCGCCTGCTGCTGTCCGAGTAACTGAGCTTATTACTTGCTCTCTGAACTTGAGCCTGACAGCTGAGCCAGCCTGGAGCTGGCAGCAAATCCCCCTTTAATCTGCTGCCCAGTTACTGGTCTCCGTCCATTTCTGCACATGATGTCGCCCCAAGGAACCACGATGACCTCAGTCCAGGTGCCCAGATGCAATGCTTGGCTTTAAGTGGCCAATGTTCAGTTTTATTTCCTATCTCTCTTGGAAATGTCAGAACCAGCTAGGGGAGGGGAGACTAGAGGAGATGGAGAATATGGAAAACGACAGCCACTCCCCAGCCCACAGCGCCCTGGCCACCACCCTGCAGCCCAGATACTGGGACCCCTGCACGGCTCTGCCCCAGCGTGGACACTGCGGGTCGTCTTCGCACTTCCTGTGCAATTACTGATAGAAATCCTATGTCTTCGAAAAACTAAAAAATAAAAAAGGAAAAAAAGAAATCCCATGCCTAGAGGCGTTCTAGCGGCACTGGGAGTGCCTTGCCGTGTGAGGGGGGCCGCCAATCGCTCGTCGGCTCACCTGTGGTAATTTTGATACTGGAGTCCTTGCTCATGTTCCCCAGCTGGACGATCACATGGTATTTCCCTCCGGGCTCCAACTTGCTAAGGGTGTATTCCACGGTACTGTTGCGGGATTTCACCTTGTAGCTCCGGTCACTCTTCCTTATGAGATCTTTAACTGCAACTGCATATAGCTAGGACAAGAAAAAGACATTTTAATGGTAATCAGGAACCTGGAGTTGTTTTACTCTTTGTAGTTCAATGGTGGCCCATGTAACATAAGTATGTCAGTGGTTGTGACCCCCGGCAACAATATTTTGAGCCCCAATGTCTGTTCTTTGGAAAGCCTCTAGGGTAGTCATGTCCCAACCTTATATCAAGTATTCACTCCCAGATTTGTACAGAGAATTGTCAGTTTGATCCACCTACCCCCCCAAAAAAAAAACAACTCTAGAGAAAACCGCATTTGTGATGGCAGCAGCAGGTAGGTTGGAACATGCAAGAAAAACCCCAGTTCAGGGCTTCCCTGGTGGTGCAGTGGTTGAGAGTCCGCCCGCCGATGCAGGGGACGCGGGTTTGTG